ATTTTTAGTTCAGCTACTAGAACAAGAACAGATATCAATTATGGGACCTAACGAGTCATTGGTGGACTCCGAACTTATTTAGTCCAACACAGAGAGGAAGAAACTGTCTCACCTCTACAAACGTTCAAATGTTTGGTTGACCGCCTTCAGCAGCATATGTCCCTGGAGGCAGGCTGCAGCAGTCACTTTCGTCAGAAGTCATTAATCCTTGTACACAAATTGCAAATACAGAGACAGATCAGCAATTATTTGAGTGTTTGTAACTTTCTTTTGACATGATAGTTTGCCTTGTATTACATTCATTCTTGGCACAATTCCACTGGACTTGAAAGAATTACTACAGGGATTAATTTGGCCTTTCTATATGTATGGCTGATACATTATATGCCTCTGAAAAAAAAGCATTATTTCTCTTGTTTGCACTTTGAAATGTGCTAGCTGACACTTTTTCCCCTTGCAGTGTAAACAGTGATTTAGGAGTTTAAGCTAAACCTAGTCAAACTTAGCAATTCATGAGGTGTGGGAGACTTCTTTCTCCTGTAAGTCTTGTAACATCTTGATGCTCATCTAACAGCTGCTAATCTAAGAGTCTTATGATCACATGAGGATCTCAGCTCCCACTTAAACCCACACAACTGGGGGGCGAGGGAATGGTCCTAGTTCTTTTGACTGCAGAAAAATACTTAAAAATATTCCATCTAAAAGTTCTACATCAACATCAGACAAGCCCCAGATGAACTGCATTTTATAACCATCTTGTTCAGACCTGGAATTGACAGGGATGTCCACATTGAGAGCAGGGCAAGAGTCAACCCATGCTGAGTGCCAGTCATGAAAGGCTGCAATCCCTGCTCACACCTTGCCATGATGAGAGCACAGGACCAGAACTAGACCTTTGGCCAAGACACAGGCTAAGCTGATCACTAGGCACTGATCTGGGATCTTGAATGCCAACTACAAAAAAGAAAAGAACAGGTAGGAGCTCAGAGCAGAGACATCAGAGTCAGCCTGGCAAAGTACTGCCCTCAGCAGAGACCAGGACACTATCCACCACGGCATGCATTCAACCACCAATACTGGTCAATAACCACAGCAGAGGGACCGTGTGCTTGTGGTCAACCTGGTTCTCTTCTGAATTCTGCAAATGCCTGTACACGTAAAACATCACACAGAAGCCTGGTGAGTTCAGTGATGGAAATGCATGATGGCATTGTGATGGTACCCACAGAATATGATTTGTCACATCCGACAGAAGCAACAACCCTCATCACTTCATTTACAGGATTTTTTATACTCTGTTCTGCACATTTTGTAAATATGAATTTGACATCTTTAGTGTATCTTTACGGAGTATTCTTTATAAGTACTTCAGCAATTCTGCTTACAAATTAAGTCCTACCTCTGAGAATCAAAACTTGCCTTTCTACACAATAAGCTTTATACTGCTCTGAGCCATAATCTTCCTTCATAACCTTCTTCAGTAACATCAGACCTTTTCCATTCATGGTTTCAGACATCCAAATGTCACTAATTTATCTAGGCAGCATGTACTGGAACCTAAAGCATCACGTTTCTTACTCAGCTTCCATCTTCACCCATGTGACCTACCTTGCCCTACTAGTTCTTGGTCATAAAAAAACAGATCAGGTATTAGCAAAAGGAAAAGACAAGAGGCTGTTGGGAAGTAGGAATTGCAGAAATTCCTTGCTCTCCACAACTGCAAAAAAAAAAAAAATCTCTTCTGTGAGACTTTGGTCCTCATTTTTTATGCAAGAGAAGGACTAAATAGCACCTACATATATTCTTGAAGGTTTTGCTAATAATGTGGTAAAGAACAATCTGAAAATTCACAGATGAATACCCACTTACTAGGGCTGAAGTTTAACAAAAATAATGCAGTATATTCCACAATGCTTAGATAGAGACCTGAACCCAACAGAAATCAGTGTCTAACCTCACTGAATCTTCATGGGGATGCCACTTTTAAGACATGAAAATACCTTTGTTAAGTCCCCGCTTACATACTCGCCACAATTTAAAGAGAGTGAAAGAGGAAAAAAAAAAAAAAAACAAAACAAAACAAACAATGTTTGAAAGAGAATCTTATCCAAAAGTACAATGTGGCTTGAACTGTCCTAAGCTAAAATATAACATTAAGATTTTTGATTTCATGAAGAATCTCACTCAAACTTTCATGACCTAGGAGATCATCATGCATAGAAACTACCAGCTGTGTCTGATACAAACGTACAGATATGTGACTTAAGCTAAAACTCAGAGTAATATTTCTTGCTGGTTTGATCACACTCTTTAATCATAATGTATCATTTAAGGCCTTAGTCCTGAAAAGACCTCAAATATATGACCAGTTCTAATGGGGCCAGGAGCAAAGTTTCACATATTTTAAAATCAAGCCACACTTTCTAGGGGACAAGATGGAGTTTACATTCCCTGCTTACTTTCAACTGTACCTTTGTTTGTTAGTCAAGCATCCACTGAGTCTACAAACAAAATCTCTAAGGTTCTTGGTATAGCTATTTCCTGCCTTTTTTTTTTTTTTTACATAAGAATTGTACTCAACCTGTTCTGTCTGTTTAGGATAGTAACATTTTTACGTAAGATAAACATCCTCTTGTAGTTCAGTATTTCTCAATTTTTATATATCACACACCACTTCCAGTACATTGCTCTTTATTAAGAGACAATGTAACAAAATCACTATAAGTGAGCAATCACCCTACTCTAATCAGACCTCCCCATTTTATCTGCAAGAATCTGCTGTGCAGAACTCTGCATCTGTAATAAATTCACTTGCCAAGGTTGCTCACTTTTCTGCAACCGACGATTTATTAATGCCAGTACTTCCTTCCCAAAGGAGCAGACTCCATGGAAATCAGAGACTTTACTGAAGTGAATATCAAGTTTTAGTCATATGTCAATCATTTTACCCTAGTTAAAATGCAGCTACCTCTGAATACAGTAATAGCATATTACAACACCACTATACCAGGCTGAGGAGAGGAACTGCATAATGCTTTTTGAGAATAACACAAGAAATTTAAGTATCGAGAACATAACTGACTGAACTGGAATTTGGACAGCACACTGAGATAATGTTTCTGTCTATTCAAGAAGCACTAGGAGGTTTTGAGGGTTGATTTACGCAGTAGGTGTAAAGCCTGATGCAATCCCACTTCATCCTCACAGTGAGACACTAGACACAGACCAACCCTGCTCTGAAAACTATGTAAATGTGAAAATGTGGTGCTGCATCTGTTCTTGTAAGGTTTAACCTTAAACAGTAACAACTGCTGACCTTGTTCGGCTTCTGAGGACTTGGCAGAGATGATTGAAAGGGTTTTGTTTTTTTCAATGTACCTGTTGGAAGTAAATCACTCTCCTAGATAATACACACCTACACGCACAAATACTGCCTAGGTTTGTATTCCCTTGTCCCAGCTTGCAAGTTTGAGACTCAGCAGGTTGCAGGGGCAGGTTGGTAGAAACCAGATCTAGTATATACAGCAGTGACACACTATAAATTAAGGAATGCAGAGTGAGTAGGTTTACCATGCAATTTGGATTGACACCAGGCATCCCATATCTCCCATATTTAGCTGAGCAGAGCCGAGATGCAGTTTGATAAGGGTATTTCTGTGAGGGATGTTACATAGCATGACTACTGCAAAGTAACATGTAAAAGATGCAGCCATGCAGAAATGGGTCCCAAAGAAGAATCTGCTTTGCTGTAACTAAGAAAAGACTCATCCTTTTTATTTCTAATGCTTAGTGGGGTTTTACTTGGCAAAACTGGGTATTTAAGCTTGCCCGTTGTTTTACTTGACAACAAGGTCTGCAGGCTGTTGCCAATTAACAGATTTACTAGCATTCAATCAGGTTTCAGGGTGTCCAGGTTGAAGTATCATCCAGGCAGTTAAAATTGTTGTTTTTAGCGCTAACAGTAGCTGCCACAGAGACTTCATTTAGGCAGTTTTTTACTCCCTCCACTGTTTGGCTCTGCTCTGTCTGAGTAGACACTCATAGGCTGAACCAGCAAGGGAGCAGATGGAGAACTCGCTCCTGCCCTAGCCTCCTTCCAGGATGGCACCACATACCAGTTAGAAGAGCAAATCCAGAACTGTCTGCACTCAAGTCCAGAGGGACCTGGCAAGTCTTCTCAATAAACACATTTCCTCCCCTTCCAGAAGACCTACGTCCAACACTGAGTTATTCTGCACAAAGGATAATCATTCAAGCAGAACTATGTTGTTTTAACATGCTCTATCCAATAATGATATCCTGTTTGTTCCAATTCTTGGTGCTTTGGCAGCAGCAGGAGATGAAAAAGAGGGACACAGGATATCAGAACTTTCACTGAGAACAGAAGGTGGGGAAAAAAATCCATTTTGCCTCTTGGATTAAAGTTTAAGTGTCATGGTTAAGGTTGTGGCTGTCCTTCTTGTACCTGCAGGCTACGCTGATTCACAGGTCTGGGTCCAGGACCCATTTATAGGTCAGGGAAACTGTTTAATAAAGATTTTTCCAGGCACTCTCTCTTCATGTCAGACATCATTCTTTGACAGGGTGAAGGCAACACCCAACCCCTAACTCTAGGCTGCACTGGCCAAGACCACCCTCTGGTTCATTGAAAGACTACATGGCCAGCTTTCACATCTTCCTCACCCCGTGCACACACGCCCTCTCCCATGACACAACTGCACCCAAATCAGACCTATAAAGCTGTCCTAAAGGAGTGCTTTCCCTATGGCAGCAGTACACTTTCTCACAGGGGGTGCTCCTGGCCTTTGCTCAGTTGAGGTCTTTCAGCTCCTCTTCCAAGTGGGGAGCGGGGCAGTTTATCTAAAGACTTATGAGCCAGCGGGACCAGGGCACCCTCCTGCAATGCAGCACCTCCTCGCCGGCTGTCGCTTCACCAAGCCATGCCTGGGGGACCACCCCCCAAAACACCACCCCTCCTCAACTCCCACCCAGCGTCCTACCTGGTATCACCGGCTCCGCTACCTCAGGGGTGGTGGCAGCATGGGGCTGCTGCTGGCTGGAGCTGACCTCAGGCTCAGTGCTCAGCAGGGGTGAGCTAGACACATCACCAGCCAGGGACACCTGCGGGGTGGGTGGGACTGTCTCCTCAGCAACCATCGACTCCTCCTGACCAGGCAGCTGCAGGGCTGAGAGAGGGATGCTGATGGATTTCCCAGACGCAACAGTGGAGCTGGAGCTGGTAGCCGGCACCTGCAGGGCGGCCACCGGGCTGACTTCTGTCCCCTGTGCCAGGGAGGCAAGGAGGCTCTGGGGCAACTTCTGTGAAGCCAGCAGGGACAGGCTGGGGGTGGAGGTGGAGAAGGGCTGCAGGTCAGACTCAGAGCTTGTGGGGGGCAGCAGCATGGCCCTGGCAGGTTCCAGGCAGGGGGTCTGGGACTCCCTCGGCAGGCTGGGCTTGGACATGTGTGTCAGGGACAGGGCTGGCCCCTCGGCACCCGCTGTCAGCTCAACGTTGGCCACAACATAGCAGTCTTCAGGGACCTCCTGTTTGATCCTCTTGAACTCCCTGCTGCTGCCTTCATTGCTGGACTGTTCCTGGGTAGCAGCGGACAGGCAGCTAGCCTGCCGCTTGTGGCGGCCCGTCAGCTGCTCCTTTAAGCACAGCTCTAAGTCACTGTCTTCTTCAGTGGCAGAAGACTCGCCAGCAACTTCAAAGTCATTGCCCTCATCCTCCTCCACAGTCTCTCTCACCTCTGATGGCCCGCTGACGCCTATGTTGCTGGAGCTGCCGGCATGGTTATCATCCAGCTTGCCCTGGCCTGCCTGGCTGGAGTAGTACTCCAGGGAGGTGGATTGCTCTGAGGCCACATCCAGCACTCTGGGTCTACCCCAGCTCAAGCTGTGGCTCTCCTGGAAGCAGATGCGCTCCAGGGAGCGACTATGGCAAGTGGCAGCCAGGGGCCAGTAGTAGGCATGGCCAGCGCTACATCTCCACGTGACTGTCAGGTTGCCCTGGGACCCCTCGGAGAACAGGTGCTTGAGGCTGGGGATGAGGTTGCAAATGGTTCCGTGGCTGTGGGCCCAGCTCACCAGCTTGGAGAGGTCTTCGCAAGACGTGTGAAGGCAGTCCTCCATGGTACAGGATCGACAGTGCCTCGCCACTGGGAGGTCAGCGTAAGATGTGGTTCTGATCTCAGGCTCGGGGCAATCACTTGCAAGCTGCCAAGCTTATACGTGCTGCTCACCTGCAAACAGAGAGCAAAACCCCACTCTTCAGCGCTCCCAAAGCCAGTCCACATTTGCACGGGCAAGTGAAACATTTGTAAGCTTAGCTAAACCCATTTAGCTCATCTCATGCACTCCAAAACACATTTCCCAAAACAGCACCAGCTTTTGAGTGACCTCATTCTGCCTGCAAAAAATCTGCCTTTAAACCCAAGGAAGGAATATCCCTGCAACACACGACTAAAAATAAGATGGCTTTTAAACAAGCCAGTCCAGTATCAGTGACAGTATGATTTGAAGCTTAAATCTCTGACAAAGTGCAAACGTAGCCTGAAAGGTGGTGATTGTGTCTTCATACTTAGGAAATTAAAATTAAATAAAATCTTACAATTCATCATGAACACCAGAGTGGCAGTCAAGCACCAGCTCAAGACATTCCCTCTGCACCTGATGAAACTTTGACATTTTACATTATTTATGCACATTTCTCAAATATCGCCTTTTCAACTGAATTTGAAAGGCATCAAAATGAGGGCCAGAAACGTTAGTTCTCAATATAAGGAAAACCCAAACAAGTTCACCCATTGAATGCACCTGATAACCGAGAATTCACCTCCAATGACTTTCTCATACAGCTAAAAGTAACTGGGAACTTCTGCTCGCTTCTGCAGACCTGTTTGGAGGCTTTCCCTAACATCCTCCCTTCTGTGCTTTATGAACATGAACTGCAAGACTTAGCGCTCCCATTGTTCTCACCTCACTTATATTTTCATATAGGTAGAAAAGCCTTTCACACTTCCCAGCTGAAATGAAGTGTGTGAAATGAAATGACATTTCACACCAATGTTACATGTCATTTTGTCCTCTTCTACAGAAGAATTTAGATGCAAAATGAACTGTGTCCTGGCTGAAAAAAGACAGCTACGTGGTGGCCAACTGCTCCTCGACAATGCTTTCCCTAAAATCAACACAAATTACTACCTGCCTACTCACTTGCTCTTCAAAGTCACCTGCCAGCTAGCTGCAGATAACTCTGTTCTGTGCCAAGGGAGGTGAGGAGGCTCCTGTTTCAATGGTTTGCAGCCTGTGTATCCCTGCCCACCCACTCTTGCTGATGAGGCAAAGGGTGGGTTGTGCAAAGCAGAACTGGAAACAGGATGGACAAGTACTGACAACTCCCTCCATGAGGCTCCCCATGGGTCCTTCCTCCTCACCCAGGCAGTCTACCTCACTGGTGGGGTCAAGAATGGAACCAGCAAGGGAATTTCTAGGTATTTAGAAAACTTCTAGGTATTTTTCCAACATCTTTGAAACTAAGAACGACATGGAGGGAAGTCCTAGATAATGGACGAACAGGAAGAAACACATCATCAGGAAACAGAGTTAAAACAGTGTAAGATCCAAGTTTGGGTTCGCAGTAGCTCAAGCCAGAGTGCATGCACAAAAAACAACTGCTACACTAACTCAAATTCTAACTTCCATTGTTGCTCACATGAAACCCCAGCAGTGGTACAGATCTCACAGCACCACCTGCAATGCAAAGCTTCTTGCGTGACCATGCCTATGTGCAGTATAGTATATGCAGTAGGACCCCACCTTGAAAGTCTTTTAGGCACCCGAGGAGGCTCCTTCTTTCAAACATACATATTTTAAACATCTAAAAGACAATCTTGAACATCTCTCAGTTTACCAGCTCTGTATTCAGCAAATGACATTTTAAAAAAAGAATAAATTTCCTGGTAAATAATTTCTGAAAAGTGTATCAGCAGTAAGTTTTTAAAGTGCTGATTGTTTGAAAAAAAGACTAGCTTTACCTAGCTACCAGGGAGCTTATGTATCATGGCTTGGTTACTTTGTGTTGTTTATTAATATTTGTTCCAAAATTGTATCTTTCTTCATACCATTACTCAGGATGATTGGAATATAAAACCCACACTATATCAGACACTAGTATTTGCCTCAGTTTGCAGTTCACAATCATTCTTTAATGGAGAAAACCTTCCACATGCTTGAAAAAAATCTTTAAAATATATTTTTTCCCTGAGTTTACAATGAAGTGTGTGTACCCTCTCTAATTTTAGAATTACAATAAGAATGAAGCACACAGCTTGAAGGCAAGATGTTTTCCCTGGTCTTTCACTTTCCTAGAAATTGTATTAAGAAAAAGTCTGCGTGTAATTTACTAAAAACCCCTGGGAATATTAATGTTGACTTTCACACAAATTATGAAGACCAAACTCTCCCATCATCTTAGTAGAAAACCAATACCTTCAGTTCCAGCCCAGACAACGTAACTATACTATGCTATTCCTCACAACAAAACACAAGCAGCTTCTGTCAGAGAGCTTTACTGTGCCAGATTCAGTTTGTACTTTTTATTTGTAGGATTTCTCTCACTTCAGGGCTCTTCTAAACTAAGGGAAATCAGAATAGTGCAACTATGGCGATATTGAAAGCATGCACTATTTGGCTACACAGTGGTAGTGAAACCATGCTATTAACCAACTATACAAAACAGAGGGGTTGTTTATGTAGAAAACTTGAGCAAGCACAGCAACTCAGCATTTCTGTGTGAGGATGAAATTCTGCTTTCTATACTACAATGTAAGGGTTTAGGTTTTCCTTTTTTTAAAAAAAAAAAAAAAAACAGAGATGGTTTTGGAAGTTAAATGATTTTCCAATGACTTAAGAAAAACCTTCTGAAACTGTCTTTACAGTGTGCTTTTCAAAGTATCAACAATTATCCTTATCATTGAACTATTAGTATCAGACTGAAGTCATGCTCTGCAGTTGCTTTTTAAATCTTTAAAAAAAACACCTAACAACAACCAAACAAAAACTTGTAGAAAACAGTTGCAAGAAAGGAGAAACTTGGAAAAAAACCCAGAAACATAAAGACAGCGTATTATTCCATGAACAGGCTTGTATCTAACTGTGCATAACAGATCACATGAAGCTGAGTCCCTAATAAAGTTCTTAGACAAGACTTTGACATGATGTAGAAAAAACAGTAATATGAAAGCTGCCCTAGAGATGAGCTGGGAAAAGCAAGGATTTGCATTCAAATTTAATCCAGTCAGAAATACTGGGTAACATCCTGTACTCAACAGATAGTAGACTGAAAAAATTAGAAATGCTCCACCCAAGTATGTGCCGATTTTCCTGTTATCCCAGAAAGCTTTCTAGCTGTGTGCCTCTAACACAATAGAATCGATCAATTCAGATTATCCTAAAATTTAAACCAAGGTTTAAAACAGATTACATTTTAATATTACTCAGATGGGTTCTCTGAAAGTGCCCAAAGAGATCAGAGCCCCATGTTGTTGAGCCCACACAGAGGTGAGGAGTTGGTGGTGGCACCACCAGCCAAGCAGCCTGACTTGCTGTTGCTCTTGATGGAACAAGTGGGGAGCAGGCCACAGTGCGATGCAGAGATCTCAGGGATGGAGCGTACCTAGGCTGGTCTGCATGGCATTTCGAAAGCCTGCAGGTATGAGTTCAGTGGGACCGGAGATATTAAACATATGTATGTGGAAAAGGTCCCTATGACCTTGGCTGGCTCAGTCAACCCAGGCCCCAATTCTTCGAGGCATTTATGTAATCAAAAGGATGGACAAGCACTGAGTGGCATTTTCAGAGGTCTCTGTAGGCATCTATATTTCTATAAAATCTGACCCTGAGCATCTAAAAGCCTGTGAAGGCTTTAGCCAGGCAAGTTCCAAAGCTTTGGCTAAAAGAGCTAAACTTCTGTCCTCAAGCAAGCACAGTTCTTGCATCAGTGCAAGATTTTGCACGTACAACGTGAAGATTTAGGGATGATACATGATTAAGAGAGACGTATTCCTGTTTTACATATAAAGGCACTGGCAGCTGGCACACTAAAGAAGATTTTGGAAGAGGTCTATCATGGAGGACTCTGAGTCAAGAACCCTTACTTCCTTTTGGAAATAGAAAAACAGAAATGCAGCCTTTGGACAGCTGCAGTTTGGAACAACAGGCTACATACACTGATGGATGTTTGGCAGAGCAAATAAAAATAAGACTATATATCATGCAACCAGTAATATGGAAGAGGGTGTCTAAGAAAAAAAATATTACTGCGTACATGGTTACATTGTTGCATTGCACATCTTCATTAAAGTCTGTTGTTGCTATGCTTCCTTAATACTGGATCTATTACACCAAATATGAGGGTATTCCTTCCAAACTTACCCATTTCTGCTCATACTGGTTCATTTCATGATTAGAGTGACAAAATGCATGCTAGTAAACACAGCTGAATAGAAGTAATTACAAGCAGGACAGTAATTTAAGGTACATACTTCAAATGCACACCACTAACCCCTTCAATAAATGCATCCAAATAAACTTCTTAGTCTCTCCAAAGATAACAGAAAAAAACCCCTTAATAAATATAAATCTTTCCATCTGTGGCACTCCAGACTTTCTCTTCTCTTGCCAATTAAAAGACAGAAAATAAACCAAAATATTTCTTAAAACACAGTAGGTTTCAAAGATACCAGAAGATATTTTACTACATTAATGTGACAGTGTTTCCAACTAATTCTTTATTGTGGTTGAATTTATTCTAGCCTTTGAATAGAGTTAGTAAAAAATATTCAGCCTTTGCTCTTTCAAAAACAAAGAAAAAAAAACCTTTAATCCATAAACACCATAAATTTGAGCAGAAGTGTCATACCCTGTAGTCATTCCAGTGATATTGATATCAGTATCAAATTTCTTCTAACTCTCTCCAGATCTGAATAACCTATTATCAATTAATGACAAACACTGGAGAACATGCCAAGAATAACTGAAGATCACATTCTAGGTAACACAGAGCTTTCTAACAAATGCAACTTAATTTTTGTAAATATTTTCTGCAAGGACATGCACGCACTCGATACCCATCCATCCAACTGTGTGATGGAGTGTATTTGCATTTGAAGCCAGTCAGGTCTCTTACACATAACTGTTCATGCAGATTCAGCAGGTACCTGTACACGTCTTGTTTGGAGGA